TGGTTGGGGATATCACTGCTGGTGTTATTCTGCCAGTTGTAACTCAATCTTATTCCAGCTTCGATATGATTCACGAGAAGTATAATAGCTGTCAATGCGGAACTAACGACGTCAGATGCCGATAGAAAGTAAAATGGTGATTTCTTCTTGCGTTTGCATCCTTTCCATAATAGAATCACAAGCGCGATAAAGCTGGACAGTAACAGTGTGTAACCTGTTGCGTCTAGCACCGCCGAATGCATATTGCGATGGCAGGTCTTCCTCGATTAAAAATATTTGTCCGCTCCGTTCACTGAAACCGTTTGCATCGATTATTCTTAAAACTGCCACACCTTGAGATTGATAGAAGCCGACTGACAATGAGTAGAGCACTTGGTATAAGCATATGGGTAATGTGGGTACCCAGTTAGCGTGGCTAATGTAGTGAAGAGTTTATATTTAACTGTACCGTACTGATAGTATATGAGGGCACAAAATGCTTATCAATTTAAACGTTGCTAATGGTTCAACTATCTATATTCTTACTGTTGTGAATTTTTGTATTGTCATTCGTTTTAATTAATTACATCATGAAATTGGTTAACGAAATAATAATTAAAAGTATAATAAATGAAACATTTAATGAAAGCTAGCGTTTTCGATAATGCGCCAATAAATTATTTCTCATTACAGTTGCTATCGATATGTCTGTACGCCGCAGAAGTGATCCAGCTATGATTCAGCGGATTTGGGATACGATCAAAATCACGGTACATCAAAGGAGCTTACCTAGTAATGACCGTATGGTACGGCACATGGCTCGTGTTTACGGCTTCACAGAACAAGAAGCTCAAGATGAGCTCAACAAGGCGGTCGAGGACGGGCTCGTCTTATTGAAGAAAGTACCCACGAAAAGCGGCGTTGAGCAAGAGAGTTACAGATTGCCGCCGGTAGACGTATCGCAGGACGATAATCACGATTGGTACTGTTGCAAATGCCAACGAGCAGGTGCGGTCGAATGCTGTGAACAATGCTGCAGGGTCTATCACTCAGAGTGCCACGTACCCAGTAATACGAAATTAAAGATTTGTAACTTTTGCGAGGTAAGCATCTGAAAGCTCTCAATGCATATATCTCGTATTGGCGATATCTTGTTAAAAGTACGAATTATGTTATAGAAAATAAATAGCGACGTATATCCCGACAAGATCGATCTCAATCATATTCTTAGTTTCACCTGTGGCCATCTGAAAGCGAAATTACCGCCGGAAATTACAAATCGTACCATTGTTTTCAATAATGATCCGATCGTTACACCACCCAACGGTTTTTCGGGATTGACCTGGGTGAGCGAGGGTGAAGACGCATGGCGGCCAGGGATTCTCATAAAGCGTCACATGGATTTGGCGGTAATGGACGCGAAAACGGACAATAATGAGTACAACAATCTCGCCGAATTTGAGGCTGATGCACATAATATTCTACATAACATCATAATATATCACGGAGGTAAGAGATCTACAATTCGATGCATTTTCTTCTTTAAGCATCTCATTATCTTGTCGCTCTAACAGTTAATAGCGTGATAGCGGACATGGGACGCATGATGTATCAAGACTGTTGCTACGACCTTCAGGAAATACGTCGTTGTGCGGACTGTTATCGTATATCGAACGAAAAATCCGAAAAAATGTGGTTCTGCATACCGTGTAATCCCCCTCATAAATTGGTCTATGCAAAGCAAAAGGGATACCCATATTGGCCGGCGAAGGTCATGCAAGTTAATGGCAATGTATACGACGTGCGTTTTTTCGGAGGTCATCACATGAGGGCTAATATCGAGAAAGTTTTCATTCGGCCAATCTTTTCCACATTACAAAGTTTGCAGGTAAAAAATCTAAATCTAATTCTAAATACTCCATAGTACTCTATACTATTCGCTCGATATTGTAACGGCGTTGACACTCTCGTATCATGATTGCGATAGAAAAAAATCTTAAGAAAAATCATCTTGACTGAAAAATTTTAAGGCGATAGAAATAATTGAAAAAATTGAATGTACCACTACGTTCTTTAAATTATGAAAGCACTTGATTTCATAATTGATACAAAAATATCTTTTTTTTTTTTACATTTTTAAAATTAACGTTTTTTAATAGATAAAAAAATCAACCGCTTGGAATAGGGCTTTCGAAGAGCTAAAGCATCATCAGCACTTGTTGCAAAAGTTGGGAAAAAATAAGGAGGATAACTCAAATATAACAGAGGATCCTACGCCTGCGAAAATTCGAAAATTGGAATCGTCGAGTTCGAAGAGTTCATCACACGGTTCTAGTTTGCCAAAGCAGCTGATTAAAGATTTGAGAGTGAGAGTCGAACGCTTGAGTTCAGATGGTAATATTGAAACGCAAAATGTAAACGATGGAACGGATAATAAAGGAGACGTTGCGAAAACTAACGCCGAGAATGAAGAAAGACAGGTGCCTTGTTTACCTGTGGCGGAAGATGAACCCGCGAGAGAAAGCATAACGAGCACATGTCCTCAAGGTTTGAAGAAGGAAGGCTCCCAAGAAGATATGGTTACATCTAGCTGCCAAGAACCGAGATCGAAGTGCGTTCTCGTACAAACTGAACAAATTCAAACGGATGGGCTTCCCGCCAAGGTAAATCTTTGGCCAAGTGTTTCAATCACGTATTCGCGCGGCTACACTATTCAATAACTTTTCGACAACTGTACACTTTCAGATCAAAAGAGAACGCAGAACTTCGGAACAACCGACAACAACGGCGCTAGAAAAATTGCGCCGTGAATTAGAACTTGAAAAGTGCAGAGAATTAGAGAGACTACAAGCGGAGCACGCCAAAGAATTGCGGCAATTAACCGATAGACATCAACAAATCGTATCTGACATCAAAAAGAAACAATGGGTAATTCTCTTTCGTCTTTCTGATTTTTTCTTTGAAATATATTATTCTTAAATATCTGTCATTTATTATAGTGTTATAATTGCGAAGCTGAGGCGATATATCATTGTTGTTGGAATACCGCATACTGCAGCACGGACTGTCAACAGGTTCACTGGCAGCATGCACATAAAAGAGTATGCAGGCGTAAGCGCTAATTCATGTGACGAATATAATGAGTACAATAATATATAAGAAAGCGTTCAAACTTCAAACAGATTTAAAAAATTATGTTATAAAAAAATATATATTATACATGTGTACAAGGTGTCTTATTTTAAATAGTCCAGCCAAATATCTCGAAAATGGAACTCGGCGGGCAAAAGTGTTTCAGACAAAAGTTGTATCGTCTGGAGAACAAATGATGGTAAAATCAATTTAAAAAAAAAATTATATAATAAAATAAAACTACGTTTATTTATTCTCCTACCAACTCTACAACTTTCTGAAAAATTTTTTCAAAAACGTTCCCTTTCCGAGATAATTGCCCTGATAAGATTAAAATAAATCACCACTCTGTATATACGTACAATATATTATAATATATATAGATAAATATATATAATATACATGTATATGAAGGTGCAAGCACCTTCTAATGTATGAAAAAGAGTTTATAATTCTCTCTATTTGTCTATCTGGACGCTTTTGCACACCTATTATTATTGTATATATGTATGAATGTGTGTGTCTGCATGTATACAGTATCCCAGAAGTACTGCGATCAGAAACGAAATTGAGCAGAATGCCGTTTGTTTTGTTTTTCGAAATCGATAATAGATTGTGTTGCAAAGAAAACTTTAAAGAATCTTGCGTGATAACTTAGAGAAAATTAAACTATTTAAAATTAACTATCCGATTTAAATTAATCGAAGACTCCGAAGAATAAAAGTGTATTGAAATAAGCTGTATGTATGCATATATGTACACATATCAGAGAATTGCCTGTAGAAGCACGTCAATATATTCTTGACACCACGTCGATAGGCCTTCGTAAACTTCCTCTCTAGGCAGGACTGTTATATGTACACGCAGGTCTTAATCTTAAAAAACTATTTTTACTTGCAACATAACAAAATAGTTTTTAAATAATCATAGTTTTATACTTATTGATATTTATATATTTAGGCAACGGATTCTGGAATGATTCTTGTTAATCTTTTTTATCTATTATTTTTCTAGATAAGTTTTTGTTTCGTATACGGTATATTAATAACAGACTTTAATGTAGGTACGTCTGTCAATAATGTGAACAAATGTATATTATTATCCAGTCATTAATTATCAGTTATTCATTATATTTATACTGATAATATACCTTGGGATATATTATATCTTTATGATTCTCATTTTAATCCTTATCAGACTGAAATATAATTTCCTTAAATAGAAACGGTAAGTTACACAGAAACATCGATATATTTATTTTATGACTTCAGGTAACAATCTTGTGAACAATATACAAGATGCTTTTACATACACGTTACATCTAATGCACATTATAAAATCTAATTCGATACACGTGTTGCACTGTATGTTGTTGCACTTTCAGTAAATATTTAAATAACAAAATTATTCATATCTATATACTAAAAATTACATAAAAGTTACATACGATAAGTTTTTGTTATTTATATTTTTGATTACTCATTTATATTTGTATCTGAAATTTCAATAATAGAGAACTATTTCCTTCACATCAAATAACCATCATAATATTGTCATATTACTGCTATGCTGCAGCAGCAATAGACAAGCTCCATAGACAATAAATCAATTGCACAGTTACATAGATTTTAATTTATAGCGGCGCAAGTATTTAGTTTTACTAGTGGGATTAAAATTTGGTAAAAATTTTAATTTTCATGAAAACTTGGAGAAACGTAAAAAAAAACTAGCATAAGAACACTCAACACACTATGAATATAAGTTGTTCGATAAGAAAGATCCTTAACAAAACTTACAAAACTTTTTTTAAAAACGTAGTGATAAATTAAAAATAATATGACTGTTATAACGATTACCGTTATAATGATCAAATTCAAGTATCTTGCGTAGCTTTAACTTCCCTACCGACTACATCCAGGGCCATTTTACCCTTTCCCGCCGTTTCAGTAACTTGCACATACCTGGTGGTATCTATATTATTTAAAGATAATCGCTCCAACAACTGTAATTCAGATGGTTCTAACTCTTCTCCAAGTTGCCTTAAAGCGGTCAGTATTTCTCCCCGTTGGCGGTCGGCAGCTTCTTTGTTCAGTTTCCCTAATTTCACGTCTCGATCAATTTGCGAGAGACGTTCCTTGAGTCCGGCAGGCTCCCGCTTACAAAACATTCTTATCACGGCTGGGGTTTGGAAGGCTGCGCCGACAGCTGCTTGAGTTGCCTATTAAGAATATACAATCGACCATATAGAAACACACATCCCGCAATACGTCTTATTATTGTACGTTGTTCAGTGAAGAAAAATTATATAAAATATATAGATACCAATTGCGTTGCTCCAAGTTCATCGACTAAAGTCATGTTTCCAGATATCATTCTTTGCAGACTCTCGTTAATTTCACGGAGTTGTTCCATGGTGTCTTCCTTATACTCCTGATAATCCGTCTCATCTAAAGTAACTCTGTTAACAACCAAACAACCAAGATAACTCACAAAGAAGGAAAAAAATATTCATATATGAATATATAAGGTAAATGTACCTATGTTTGAATACCTTTAAAAAAATATAAATTTTTGGAAATAAACATTTGGATACTATAGCTAAAGTTTCAAACTACAATAAAAAATTCTTTTACATGTCCGGTTATTGATACGATTACCTTAAACACAAAATTTGTAAAATTAAAAAAAATTGTTTAAAACAAATTTAATATTCTTATTAGAACAGAGAGAGATGAAACGACAGAATGAAACAGAACCTGCAATCTTCCAAATCTTCCAACTGCTGCACAAGCCGATCCAATTGTTCTTCCAAATTCTTTCTGAGTCTGTCGGTCTCTGCTTTTCCGTGAGAACTCATTTTCGGCGAGACGAGCGTTGAAAATGTAGAACAGGACAGGGAAGGGAGAAAGAAAGGAAAATGTGTAGGTTAGATTAAAAGTGCCGAAATGCAAGGGATATAATCCTTCGCTTATTAGACGATACTACATACGTCATAAAGCATTGGTTTGAAAAGGAGAGTATTTTTTTCACTTTGAACACTTTCAAGTACCGCAAAACATAGAGATTATTAACAACGTAGGAAACTTTGGGAGAATGTATGTATGTTGTTGTATGCATACAACAACATACATACATTC